GGGGGGGTACACTCATGGTTGTTGGAGGGCGGACTGGTGCTATGGTGCCATGGTGCTGTGGTGGGTGGCTGCGGGTGTGGTGGCTGTGGGGCGTGGTGGTGGGCTCGCTTGGCCGGCTGGTCGGGAACTGGTGGCCGTGGCTGTGTTTGATGTGGGTGGCCGGGGGTGGCGGGGGATGGGCATGGTTTTGTATGGTATGGTTGCTGCTGTGTGGGAACAGGCGTTCTTCTCGTTCCTTCTCTCTTCGCAGGTTGGGCGGCAGTTCAAGTACGCGGAGGAGTTCCCGCTGATGTCGCGCGAGGAGCTGACGACGCTGGCCGAGATGCAGGACATTTCGGTCTTCTGGGACGCGTACTGGAAGCACAAGAAGCCTGTGCTCTCCGAGGCCGCCAAGATGTTCTGCGACTCGCCCAAACTCGGCAACGCTGCCCGCCGGGTACTGGCTTGGATTGACGCCGGCCGACTGCCGGAAAAGTACCCGTTCTGGGGCGTGCCGCGCGGCCGCAAGCGCCCGCGCAGCGACATCAACTACTCGGCGGTGGCCGGCGACTTTGAGCTCCAGATTGGCCTCTCGCCGAGTGACTACTCGCTCGTCACCACCGTTGATCCGTACCAGGACCGTTACAACGTGGTCTTTTACGCTCATGCCGACGCGCCTTACGAGCTCCCCGAGCCGGTCGACTCGCCTGACGTCCGTGCCCGCCGCTGGTGCACCCGCGCCGAGGCCGAGGACCTTCTTGCCGGCGACCACGACGTCCAGCAGGAGCGCCTCGACATGGTTCTCCAGGGCTTTGACAACATGGCCGCCATCCTCTAGCCACCGGCTAGCTCCACCGTAAATTGCGCACCTCGCAGCCCTACTTGATGGCCTGGCCGACAGGCAGCCTCCGCAGCAAGGCTCGACCGGCCACGCTCGTCTCCTGCAGCATCTTCTTCAGCACTGCTCTCCTCCACAGCTCGCGATTGAGGGCCTCGGCACGGTAGGTGAGGCCGACGCGGACCCGCCGCGCCACATCGACGGCAGGATAGATGGCGCCGTTGTTGACAACATGCGTGTGTGCCATGGTCGGCCACCCCGCACTCGTACCCTCGTCCGCATCCTCATTCCCATCACCAGCGGCAGCCCCAGCCACCGACCCCGTTCCGCTTGTCGACGGATCAGCCCGACGACGCACCGCCGCCGTCCGCGCACGCGCCAACAGCCCAGCCATGGTAAAGGCCGATTCCGGCTGAAGCACCCGCAGACCGTTCGCCGCCGCATTCACCAGAACCTCTGGCACCAGATCATCGGGAGGGGCTAACGGCGCACCGCCACTACCGCCACCACCACCGCCTCCGCCACCGCCGCATCCGCCGCCACCGCCGCATCCGTCGTGTGCCGGCGGAGCGTCAAACTCGCGACAGCCCACGGAAGCGCCTCCGTCTCTGGCCTCTCTCCTCCTGCCATCACCCCATGCTCTCCGTGCAGCAACTGACCGCGACATACCCACACACGCTCGCTCTCGCTCTTTCCCTCTCTCTCGCTCTCTCTCTCCCACCAGTCCTTGCCCCAAGCCCGTGACTGCCTCGTCCTTGTGGAGTCGGCTGTGGTCGCCTGCGATCGACGGGAAGACGCGGTCGGTCACTGGGTCGGTCACTGGGTCGGGCACTGGGTCGGTCACTGGGTCGGGCACTGGGTCGGGCACTGGGTCGATCACTCTGTCGATCACTCTGTCGATCACTCTGTCGATCACTCTGTCGATCACTCTGTCGGTCACTGGGTCGATCACTCTGTCGGTCACTCTGTCGATCACTGGGTCGGTCACTCGGTCGGTCACTGGGTCGATCGCTCTGTCGATCACTGGGTCGGTCACTCTGTCGATCACTGGGTCGGTCACTCTGTCGATCACTGGGTCGATCACTCGGTCGATCACTCTGTCGATCACTGGGTCGATCACTCTGTCGATCACTCTGTCGATCACTCTGTCGATCACTCGGTCGGTCACTCGGTCGGTCACTCGGTCGGTCACTCTGTCGATCACTCTGTCGGACACTCGGTCGGTCACTCGGTCGATCACTCTGTCGATCACTGGGTCGATCACTCGGTCGATCACTCTGTCGATCACTCTGTCGATCACTCTGTCGGACACTCGGTCGGTCACTCGGTCGATCACTCTGTCGATCACTGGGTCGATCACTGGGTCGGGCACTCGGTCGGTCACTGGGTCGGTCACTGGGTCGGGCACTGGGTCGATCACTCTGTCGATCACTCGGTCGGTCACTCGGTCGGTGACTCGGTCGGTCGCCCGCCCACCGCCGTCGTTCCCCACTTCCCCCTTTCCCTTCCCTTGCCCTCCTCCAATCCCCCCCCTGCCCACCTCACTCCCTGCACCCATCACCATGGCGACCATTCCTGACTTTGACAACGAGAAGCAGATTATTGAGGTATGTATACGGGTGCTGGTTTGGGTGGGGGTGGGGGGGGGGGGGGGCTGGGAGGTGGGGGGGGTGGGGGGGATGGGGGCGGCAAGGGCGGGAGTGCGACATGGGTGGTGGGGGTGGGGATGGAGAAGGAGAGAGAGGAATGGGTGGGGAAGTGAATGGAAGGGGTACTCATGGATGTGTTCCGGGAGGGCAATGGCTGTGTAGTACTACCAGTCGCTGCAGCAGGAGTACCAGAGCATACAGCAGAAGATTGTGGAGATCGAGTCGGACCTCCGCGAGCACGAGTAGGTGATGATGATGCTGGTGGCGATGATGACGCTGGTGGGAGTGGGGGTGGTCATAGAGAAGGAGGGGAATGATGATCGGCATGGACGGGGGGGAGGGGGAGGGGGGGGAAGTGGCGTGGTAACTCATTGGATGGGTGTGGTTTCGGGCGCTAGGCTGGTGGTCACCGCCCTGGCCGACATGGACGACTCGCGGCGGTGCTACCGGCTCGTGGGTGGAGTCATGGTCGAGCGGACCGTCGGACAGGTGGTGCCGGCGGTGGAGAAGAACAAGGCTGGCATTGAAGATCTGATCGAGAAGATGGGCCAGCAGCTGGACATCAAGGGCACCATGATCAAGGCCGTCCAGGAGAAGTACAACATCCGGTTCCGCGACTCGCGCGCTGCCCAGCAGGCCGACGTCGGTGCCGCGTCGTCGCAGTCGGACACCCGTTCCGGCGTCCTCGCCTAAGCGAGTGCTCTCTGTATCCGCCTTTAAACTCTCCACATCTGCTAGCTGCAAGCTCCGACAATGCACGGACTAAATCTCACAGGTTCGCGCCCTGCTGCGCCCGCAACGCCTCGAGCTCGACACGCTGCAACTCGATCTGCTCGACGAGCCCGGGAAGCTGCTCCTTGTACATCTGCTTGTACAAGTCACGGTCGGCGCGAATGTCCTCGATGGTCTCTTCCTTCTCGCCGATGATCTCCAGCGCGGCGTTGAGCCGCCGCTCGATCTCGGCCGTGCGCCCGGCGAAAGCCTCGAGCTGGTGGACTCGCTCGGCGAGGGCCTCGGCCGAGGCATTTGACTCGACAAGGCGGTCCTCCAGAAACTGCCGGGTCTGGCTCAGCGACGACATGTGCCGCTTGAGCGCCTCGATCTCGTCACCTTGCAGCTTGGCCCTGGCGAGCATGGTTTCCAGTGCCGATGCCGAGAGCATCGCCCCGTCCGTCTCCGAAATGGTGACCGAGCCGCCGCCGGTGCCTGCATCAGTGCGGGCGGCCGGAAGCGCGGGTGTGGCGGACTGGCTCACCGCCGCCACCGCACCTACCACCGTCGGCGGCGGGCGCTGGCGCTGCAGCTCCGAGTATGCGTTGCGCAGTGTGTCGAGGTCGGCCGAGAGACTGGAGACCCGCTCGCGTAGCTGGAGTGTCTCCATCGATGCTTCGCGAGTAGCCGCTGCCACCGCTGCCGCCTGCTGTGCCCGCGCCTCGGCCGCTGCTGCCGACGCAGCCGCAGCTGCGGCCCGTGCAGCGCGGATCTCATCGCGAGCCTCGGCTGAGGCTGCCTCGGCCGCTGCCGCTCGCTCCTCGGCCGCTGCAACCTCAGTCCGGAGCGCGTCGGCGGTAGCGGTCGCTGCTGCCGACTCGGTGGTGGCGGCTTCGACCCGAGCGCGGGCCTCGGCCTCTGCCGAGGCTGCAGCCGCCGCTGCAGCGGCAGCCTCGGCGAGCTTGGCCGACAGCGACGCCTCCATCGACTCGAGGAGAGCATCCTTCTCAGCGGCTGCGTTCTGCAGCGCCTCGATGCGGCGGACGAGCGGGCGGGTGGCCGCTGGGATAGAAAAGGCGGCCTCTTCGTTCCGCGATGCCTCCTCCTCCAACCGCAGCTGCAGGTCCTGGATTATGCGCTGGTGCTTGTCTTCTGCCCGCGACGCGTTCTCCTGTGCGCGACGGAGCGAGTCGCGAAGGTCCTCGATGGCATGCTCGAGCGAGCGGACCTGGCTGGCGTGGGTCTTGTCGGCGGCTGCCACGGCGTCGGCAACAGCCTGCTCACGCGAGGTGGCCCCGTCGGCTCGCGCAGCCTCGAGTTCGGCCTTGAGCTGGGTCACCGTCTTGTGCTGGACCGAGAGCTCGGCCCAGGCCTTGTCGAGTGCCTGCTGCAGGTTGGCGGCCTTGGCGTTGGCCATGTTGAGGTCGCGCTCTTTGGTCGAAAGCTCAACCGACTGGGTCTCCGCAACCATAGAGACTTGGCCCATCGACTCGGAGTAGTTGCGCTCGGCCTCTTCCAACTCGGCCACCCGCGCCTCAAGCTCAGCTACCCGCGACTGCGCGGCGTCGAGAGCACTCGTCGCCTTGGATGCCTCGGTTTTGAGCTCCTTCTCCTTTCCGCGCAGCGTCTTGACAAGACCCTCGAGGCGGGCAATGTTCTTGGACCACGACTCGCCCTCAAGCTTGAGATCGGCTATGGATGCCTCCAGCTCGGCATTGCGCTCCTGGAGCTTGGACAGCGGTGTGGTAGAAGCAGCAGCGGTCTTCAGTGCGTCGCGCTCGGCCTGCGTCGCCTGCAGCTCCTTCTCCACCACGAACAGCCGCTTGGCAAACTCGTCGGCCAGGTCTTCGTTGAGCATCTCGGCCTCAAGCTTCTCGTTCTCCAGTGCACCCATGCGGGCGGCGAGCGTTGCAAGCTGCTCTTCGCGGGCCGCCAGCAGAGCGCCGAGCTCCTCAACCTTGGCTGACGCCGCATTAACTGCCTCTGGAGGCACCATCGTCGTCGGATGCAGCTCTTGGTCCGTCTCGGCCACAGTCTCAGCCTCAGCCTCGGCCTCAACTTCGCGCGCTGGCTCCGGCTCGGCCTTGACCTCGGGCATAGACTCAATCTGGGGCATAGGTTCGGCCTCGACCGTGGGCTCTGGCTCGGCCTCGACCTCGGGTGTTGACTTTGGCTCGGCCTCGACCTCGACCGTGGGCTCTGGTTCGGCCTCAACCTCGGGCCCTGTCTCTGGCTCGGCCTCGACCTCGACCGTGGGCTCTGGCTCGGCCTCGACCTCGGGTGTTGACTCTGGTTCGGCCTCGACCTCGGGCCCTGACTCTGGTTCGGCCTCGACCTCGGGCCCTGTCTCTGGCTCGGCCTCGACCTCGGGCCCTGGCTCTGGCTCGGCCTCGACCTCGGGCCCTGTCTCTGGCTCGGCCTCGACCTCGGGCCCTGTCTCTGGCTCGGCCTCGACCTCGGGCCCTGACTCTGGCTCGGCCTCGACCTCGGGCCCTGTCTCTGGCTCGGCCTCGACCTCGGGCCCTGACTCGGCTTCGACCTCGGGCATAGGCTCAACCTCAACCATGGACTTCGGCTCGACCTCGACTTCGGGCTCAGGCACAGTCTTGGGCGTTGGCTCAAGCTCGGATTCGACCTCAGGCTCCGGTGTCGGTTCTTGCTTGATCTCAGCGCTAGCGTCAGCCTCAACATTACCATGAGCATCACCACCTGCAGCCCCAGCCTCAGAATCGGCCTCGGCAACTTTCTGCTTAGGCTCTGCAGGCGCCTCAAGCGTCCGCTGAGGGGTAAAGACTAATGGGGCCTTGCGTGCCGTGGCCGCGGGCGACGCGGGCGAAGCTGAGACCGTCGGCGAGCTGTTGACCGAGGTCGCAGCTGCTGTGGCCACCACCCTCGGAGAAGACACAGCAGTCACAGGCGATTGCTTCAGCTGAGGTACACTCCTTGTTGTTGTCGGCTGTGGGGAGAGGCCCATGGCGGCAAACAGGTCTACCGAGCCCGAGTTCGATCTCGGGCTCATCGAGCCCATCGAGCCCATCGAGCCCATCGAGCCCATCGAGCCCATCGATCCCGTCAAGGTGACCTCCTCATGTCGATCAGCGCCACCATGCCCATTCCCACCAGCTGCCCCTCCACCACACCACCACTCTCACCACCCACGCCATCGACCTCTTCTGCCACGTCGTCCTTGCCACCCTTGCTCACCGGCGACTCTACCCACACCATCACCACCACCACCCGCCACACTCTGTGAGCCATCATATCCCACACACACACACACACTCTCTCTCTCTCTCCGTGCCCTTCTCCAAGTCATGCTTGTGCGTACGTGGCAGAGTGGCGCCATCTTCGATGCCCAGGCTCTTGTCAATGCTGTGCGAGTGGGGGGGACGGGAGGGGAGGGGGGGGGGGGGGCGAGAGGGTGACATGGAGTGAGTGCATGGGCATAGGGGACAGGAGGGGAAGGGTACGGAAGGGGTGCAGGTAAGGGGGTATGTGGCTCACGTACGTCTGCTCAACCTTCTTCAGTGCTTTCTTGAACCATGCAGACATGGCGTCTCGCTCCTCGAAGACGACAGTGCTGCCGTATGTGTGCTTTGTCACCGATTGGGTGGTCGGCACGTCACCTGACAAGGGTGGGGCGGCGGTGGGGCGGCGGTGGGGATGGCTTCAGATCACCACGGTGGACGATCTGGGTCATCGGGATGGGGAATCGCCATGTCAAGGTGATGATGGTGGTGGTGATGGTGAATGGGTGACCAGCATCAGCATCGGCGGTGGCCGGGCCTGGCAACGAGCAGGCGAGGCGAAGGCACGATCTGGATCAGGGGGGGGGGGGGGGATGGGGGATATCAAGAGGACACGGACATGATGGCTGGCGATGACGCGTGAGTGTGGACAACGGAATGGCATGGCCATCGGTGTCAGCTCTGAAATCAGTCCGCGCCAACACCGGGTCATGCCAGCGGCCACCGCCACCACCTCGCTCACACTCACACACAACCAGCCATCATCATCACTTGCCCACACACACACACACACACATACAGACACACATACATCACCTCTTTACAGCATCCCTATCCACATGGCAATTGCACCATATCAGCCGATCTATGATCAGCCATCTCGTAGACTCCGCGCGCCGATGGAAGCCCGGCTCGGCACGGGCGTGACGTGTCTCGGGCCGGCTGCGGCTGGGCCCGGGGACGAGGCCGAGTGCACGCTGTGCTTCGGAGCAGTAGCCATCGGAGCAGAAGGCGAAGGCGTGGTGCTGTATCCGTGCGGGCATGTGCTGTGCGCAGGCTGCGTGATGGACGCCATGGTTCACTTTGTCAATGCCTCGTCGCACCGGCAGATCAAGTGCATGGGCGCCGCCGGCGGATGCACTGCCACGCTGGCAGCAGCGCATAGCCAGATCGAGGCACTTGCCGTCGCCCGCCCGGATCTCGACGCGTGGTCTTTGCTGGCCAAGTACACTCGCGCTCTGGTCGTCCGCGAACTTGCCGCAAGTGCACGGTTCGTCTGGTGCGCCGGGCCAGGCTGCGGCAGTGGCGCGGTCATCGATGCCGGGCCCGAGTGCGAGAGCAGCGCGCCCTTCTTTATGGATTGCGCCGAGTGCGGGGCACAGACGTGCACAGGGTGTGAGCAGCACGCTGACATGCATCGCCAGCCACTGTGGCGGGTGGCGCTGCAGTGGATTGGCCGCGGCGGTCCACGTGGCGCCTGCCCGATGTCTGCGGCGTCGGACGTCGAGTCCGAGGCCTGGATCCGGGCCAACGCCATCGCGTGCCCCTCATGCGGCGTAGCGCTGGTACGAGCAGGCGGCTGTCGCCATGCTCAGTGCAGCGTCTGCCGCGCCGAGGCCTGCTTTGAGTGCGGCGAGGCGTACCACCCGCTGCCGACCCGCCGATGCACCCCTCGCGACACGCTGCCGTTTGGCCCAGGCACCCTCGCCGCTGCCCAGCCTCTGCCATCCGCTATTAAGTGGCGCACCAGCGCCGGACCGCTCGCCGTCCTCGCCCTTCTGCTCCTTGCCTACGCCGCCATCTTTGTCGGCCTCGCCCGCACCCTCCACTCGCCGATCCTGGGCCTTGCCGCTGCCATGACTGGGCCGATGGCTCTCGCCGGCCGCCGCGCCTGGCGAAGCCTGCAGGCCTCGCGGCGTGCGCCGATCTTGGCGCTGTAGAGCTAGCTGCGCTTGAGGTGAAAGGACGGACGCTCAGGAGCGAGCCACGGCAGCGCCAGTGCATACCCGTGGACGGCAATGCCGAGCCAGCAGAAGACCGAGAGCGTCTCGGCCGAGCCGTCGAGCCACAACCAGGTTGCGCCAAAGAGAACGGCAAAGATGGCGAGGAGGATCCAGCCGACGCGACGCGGGCGGAAGAAGAGAGCCAGCGGTGCGCACCAGAGCAGCGCCCAAACAAACTGATTAGGCATGACGGCCATGGTGGCGATGCCAGCGGGCACGCCAAACTGCCACAGCAGATGCCCGTGCGGGCCGACGAACGAGCACGTGGCGACGCCGAACGAGTGCGAGGCGTCGATGACGTCGGCGTGGCTTAGCCGGACTAACGCCTGCGGCCAGATCGATGCCACTGCCGCCGCTGCCGCCACAATGCAGGCAAGAGTGAAGCAGGTTCTGTGGGCGAGGCGGGCGGCAGCGCCATTAGCCGCCTTTGCTCCGAACCAGTTGACAGCCATCGGCTGCGCAAACAGATCCAACGCCGCCAGATGGGTAAGCAAGCTGTTGGCAGTCGAGGAGCAGGTCGCCCGCCGCGGCGGCGGCCACGGCGTCGGATCAGTCAGCCAAAGCCCGGCCTCGATCAACTCCATCCCTGTCAGCAGCGTCAGCAGCGGGAGCACCGCCCAGTCGCGCCGCCCTCCACGCCACGCCAGCGCCACCATGCCCGCAATCTCCAGCGAGGCAAAGCCCAGCGAGACCTCAAACGACCAGCACATACCACCGCTCCGCAAATACCCGAGTCCGCTCGACTTTATCCGTCCTTCCTGTCCGTAGCTCGATGTCGGAGTGCTCGCGCTCCGCAGTCGAGTCGTGCCGTCGTACCCGCCATTCTCTGCCAGCTGACATACGCCAGGCAGCTGCATGCACATCGGCGATGGCGGTGAGGAAAATGAGAAGAGGGGTAGACATCAGCTCTTTTTTAAGATGGCCTCGGCCAAGGCATACTGCAAGGCCTGCAGCAGAACCATCGCAACGGATCAGTCGCCGTAGCAGTAGTGTTTCACTGCTCCTCGAGCCGTAGCGTCACGGCCGGTTTTCCTCGCGCTTACTTCCGCTGGCTTCAGAGCAATCGCATCATGTACAATACAAGACGATGTCTCTCAAGCTTGACCGCAAGCGGCGGTGCAGGCGATTGCTGTCGTGAGTTTGGATTCGGATTCTTTCCCATGACGCTCGCCACGGTCAGACATCCAGTAGCGCCCAAAAGTACGTGATCTCACATTCTCGTTCGCTCGCTCTCCTCCACGATCACGGGTCGCTCTGGTCGCACATTCGCCTTCTTTACTCAGCAGGCTTAAGGATCTGAGGACCGGTAGGGTCGACGTCGGCCTTGCCAAAACATTGAGCAGGGCCTCGTTGATGAGGTCGTACCAGAGATGCTGCAGCGGCGAGGCCTCGTCTGGGATGGGAGGGAGCGGGCGCGGGACAGGAGGGCCGAACCAGTCGCGCTTGTTAAAGGCAAAGTTGCCGACTTCCTGTCCGTAGGTGTAGTGAATAGCGACCGAGCGATGGGAGATGTCAGCGTCCATGGGCGGCTCGGGAGCGAGCTGCTTGTCGGCGATCGAGTTCCAGCCGAGGGAGGCGGCCGCGCAGGCAAAGCCCCACATGTCTGCGATCCACGACTTTTCGTTGTTGGCCCACGGCTGCGGGAAGCGGTTCCAGCGAGTCGACTCGATCCACGCCGGCAGGATCTGCCACAGGTCGTCAGCGTGGATGATGTACGGCACGCCGATGGGCGCGACGGCGGCCGGGCGCGGCGAGCAGTTATTGATCACGTACGAGTTGTTGGACCACGGGTAATCGGCCTCCATGTAAAAGTAGTGGTGGCCAACCGGAGCGTGGCGGGCGGCAATGGCGGTGATCGGCTTAATGAGGAGAAAGTCCGGCTCGACGATGACCACGTTGGTGAGGACGGCCGGATCGAGGCTGGCGATCGAGCCGGCGCGGAAGGCGCTAAGGAACTCCCGCAGGCCCTCGGCGCGGTTGTAGACCACAAAGTGGTCGCCGTTGGGCGCGGTGGCGTAGTCGTCAGTGATAAAGATGGGGCAGGTCATGAACGGCTCGTCGCACGAGAACGAAGGCTCAGCCCGGCCGGGCGAGGAGACGATGGTGACGAGCTTGCCCGGCTGCTTGACCTTGAGGTAGTGGTAGTGGAAGAGGCGCATCTGCCACACCTGGTAGGCATTGTCCGACAACATCAAAATCATCAGTGTCTCCGATCCGTCCACCTCGTTGGCCGGCAGGACCACGGCGCCGCGGACGCCGGCGTGCGACGGCAGCGCCGCCGCAGGGTTTTTGAGTCCCTCGCCGCCTGCCTGCGTCTCCAGCGGCTGAGGCGCCTCACCCAGGTGATGCTCCAGCGGCATGAGGTAGATGACAATGACCATGAAGAGGGCAAGGCCCACCAGGACGCCCCGTGACCGCACGTGGCCCGACGAGGTCAGCCAGGCAGGGAGCCAGCCGGACTCGCTCCGGCCGGCCCCAAACCGTCCGCCGGAGCCGTAGCCGCCACTGGCGCCGGCAAGCCGGATGGGCCCACGGCGCTTCTTCTCGGCCTCAGAGTCATCCGACCAGTTGCACCGTTCGTCCCACTCGGCCATGGTTCCCACCGCACACACGCGACGAGACGGGTGTGCCTGGTGGAGGCTGGGGGGACTGGCAGGGGCAGGGAGGTGCGGGGATCAGGAGGTGGGGTTGGCCACGATCGAAGAGCGGGGGGGGGCGGGGGACAAGCAAGGGGGGACGATCATGGGGGAGGTGGTGGTGGGGACGATCATGGCGACGATCATGAGGACAACTCAAGGGGACGATAATGGGAGGGGGAGGATGAAGGGGGATATCAAAGGGGAGGTGGGGGACAGCAAGGGGGACGATCACGGGGGAGGGATCAAGGGGGGGGGGGACCAAGGGGATGGGATCGAGGGGGGAGGACCAATCAATACAGACGACCAAGTCGAGTGGTCGATCATGGCGTTGATCGCCGCCTACACGGCCAGTTGCTGCAGCCGGCAGCTGACATCGTTACACAGAGCGAGCAGCAGCCTTGGCACGATCGGCTCGAGCTCGAGCCATCGCGTATGGCCTGCCAGCGGTGTGTGTGCCTCACCGACACGGAGGAGCTTAAGAGGGCTTTCATTCCATTAGTGGGGGCAGGGCCAGGACCTGGCGGCGATGGCCATCGGGATCGGGGCGGAGGTGGTGGACAAGAGGGGAGGGGGAGACAACCGCCTGGTTGGACCAAGCCATGGTGGGATGGAGGTGGGGATGGATACTGGGCAGATGCTGGCCTCTGTGGGAGGAGCAGGTGGACAACATATGCCTGGGCCGTCGGGCATGGATACTGCACCTTGTGCATGGCTGCTCCGCTGCGGTTGCTGCTCTCCATCGGTGGCGCCAGAGACCCGCCGGCGAGGAGGACGGACACGGATACGGATCCCACCAGCTGCGGCCAGCGGAGAGTAGCAGCCGCCCACACTCGTCCATCATGGTCACCTGCGCCAACTGTGGGACGTCAGACACGCCGCTGTGGCGCAAAGGACCCACCGACAAAAAGCTGTGGTATGTGTCCTCCCCATCCCCCATCCCCATTCCCTCCCCGCACCCGCACCCCCCCCCCCCATCCCCATCCCCCCCTCCCCCCCCCCCAAATCGCCCCCCCTCGCCAACTCCCTCTCCCTCGCTCTGTCTGCTTTTGCCGGTGGCTCAGTTTTTGGCTACAAACTCTCCGCACCCGCCACACCCGG